TCGATCTCTCAGATGTCAAGCCAGCAAGATGGACAATTTGGACCACTGAAATATTCCATGTATAATGCAATAATGCACATACACCTGCACACATGTTTTTGCCACATTGCACATGTTTACCCATTATATATAATCTGTCATGTAATCTTTTACTCGATTGTGTCCATATTCCGTTGGTATTATACTCATCTGCTTCTTATGCTATGTTTTATGTACTGGCTTAGCTAATTTAATTGAGGGAGTGAGTCACCGGTTCAAATAAGTGTCTAGTTTTTCTTTTTTTGGCATCTAGATTATGGGACTCTAAGAGCAACCAAAGTAATTTACACATATATCCAGGCTGAGAGCTACAGTTGGAAATTCTTTTCCGGCATAGATTCAAAGCTAGCTGAACTAGACGACGGATGGCCCGAGAGCGTAGAGGAGCAGGGTCTTCTCTTGTTAATATGGAGACACCTTGTGACAGGACAATATATTAAAGATGTATTATAGGAGAAGAGGATTATCAAGACAATATAGCTATTACACACAGACGCTTTTACAAACAGACGATTTTACACACAGACGCTTTTACACACGAACACTTTTACACACAGACGCTTTCACACACAGACGCTTTTACACACAGACGCTTTTACACACAGACGCTTTTACACACAAACGCTTTTACACACAGACGCTTTTACACACAAACACTTTGACACACACACACACTTTTGCACACAAAAGCTTTGACACACAGACGCGTTTACACACAGACACTTTTACACACAGATGCTTTTACACACAGACGCTTTTACACACAGACGCTTTTACACAGAGCACACAGAAGCTTTTAAGCAGAAGCTTTTACACAGACGCTTTTACACAGACGCTTTTACACACAGACACTTTTACATACAGACGCTTTTACACACACAGACGCTTTTACACACAGACGCTTTCACACACAGACACTGTTACACACAGACACTTTTACACACAGACACTGTTACACACAGACACTGTTACACACAGACGCTTTTACACACAGACTCTTTTACACAGAGCACACAGAAGCTTTTAAGCAGACGCTTTTACACAGACGCTTTTAAGCAGAAGCTTTTACACAGACGCTTTTACACAGACGCTTTTACACACAGACGCTTTTACACACAGACGCTTTTACACACAGACGCTTCGCTTTTACACAGACGCTTTTACACACAGACACTTTTACACACAGACGCTTTTACACACAGACGCTTTTACACAGAGCACACAGAAGCTTTTAAGCAGACGCTTTTACACACAAACGCTTTTACGCAGACGCTTTTACACACAGACACTTTTACACACAGACGCTTTTACACACAGACGCTTTTACACAGAGCACACAGAAGCTTTTAAGCAGACGCTTTTACAAAGACGCTTTTAAGCAGAAGCTTTTACACAGACGCTTTTACACAGACGCTTTTACACACAGACACGTTTACACACAGACGCTTTTACACACAGACGCTTCGCTTTTACACAGACGCTTTTACACACAGACACTTTTACACACAGACGCTTTTACACACAGACGCTTTTACACAGAGATGCTTTTACACAGAGACGCTTTTACACACAGACGCTTTTACACACAGATGCTTTTACACACATAAGCTTTGACAGCTTTGACACACAACGCACAGAAGCTTTGTACACACAGAAAAAATCGCAATTTTACCTCAGTTTTTGGCGATCGACCCTCATTTCGTGCGAAAGGGTTACAACGGGAACCCGGACATCGCAATTTTACCTCAGTTTTTGACGTTCGAACCTCATTTCGTGTGAAAGGGTTGCGCGGGACGACTTGAACCCGCAATTTTACGACAGTTTTTGACGATCGAACCTCATTTCGTGCGAAAGGGTTGCGCGGTACCACAGTTTTTGACGATCGAACCTCATTTCGCGCGAAAGGGTTGCGTGGGACGACTTGAAATCGCAATTTTACCTCAGTTTTTGACGATCGAACCTCATTTCGTGCGAAAGGGTTGCGCGGGACACCTTGCAAATCGCAATTTTACCGCAGTTTTTGGCGATCGAAGCTCGTTTCGTGCGAAAGGGTTGCGTTTCGTGCCGTCTCGTTGGCACTGCCCCTGCCCCCGCCTTTAGAAGAGAAATAGAAAAGTAGGAGAGGGCAAGAGGGCAAGAGGGCAAGAGGGCAAGAGGGCAAGAGGGCAAGAGGGCAAGAGGGCAAGAGGAGAAGGTGTGAGATGAGAAGATGTAAAGATGAGAAGATGTGAGAAGATGTGAGAAGATGTGAGAAGATGTGAGAAGATGTGAGAAGATGTGAGAAGATGAGAAGATGTGAAGATGAGAAGATGTGAAGATGAGAAGATGTGAAGATGAGAAGATGTGAAGATGAGAAGATGTGAAGATGAGAAGATGTGAAGATGAGAAGATGTGAAGTGAGAAGATGTGAAGATGAGAAGGTGCGATGTGAAGATGAGAAGGTGCGATGTGAAGATGAGAAGATGTGAAGATGAGAAGATGTGAAGATGAGAAGATGTGAAGTGAGAAGATGTGAAGATGAGAAGATGTGAAGATGAGAAGATGTGAAGATCAGAAGGTGTGAAGATGAGAAGATGTGAAGATGAGAAGATGAGATACAGACCCCCACTATTGGAAGAACCCTGCGCTCAGACGCTCTCGGGAACAAAAATTGACAATACCACTGCAACTTGAGTTAAAACAGGACTTGTTGTTCCAGAGCTTGAGCCGCCATCAAAACGAAGTAGTAATGACACCTTCAAAACATGCAAATGCTCATTCTTCCACAACTGGGACCCTTGAACAGCCAAAATGTCTTCCATGCCTTGAAAATGGACAAACATTATGAGCTTCGATGAAGTCTGCAGTTTCTGTACTATTTTGATAGTGTTTTGACTGTGTCCGTGCGTGTTTCTGTCTTATCCCATATTTTGTAGGAGAGTGTAGCCATATTAAGCATTTGAATCGTTCTGCGTCTAATGAGATTCCTGCGTCCCGAACTTCCAAACAAAAAAATTGTGAGTGCCTCAGGCAAAATCACAGTGAACAACAACTCCGATCGTCTCAGATGAAAAACGCATAGCAAATGCAGCCAGAAGTGCCTATGCATATGTGAAACAACCCGACGCAGAAAAAACACATGGAGCCTGAGTCCGCGACAGATGCAGCACACTCGAACAGCTGTGGTTATGCTACTGTATTTGCACACACACACACTTTTACACACATACAGACTTATTTGCACACATACACACTTTTACACACACACACACGCTTTTACACACAGACGCTTTTACACGCAGACACTTTTACACAAAGACGTTTTTACACACAGGCGCTTTTACACACAGACGTTTTTACACACAGGCGCTTTTACACACAGACAGTTTTACACAGAGACTTTTACACACAGACGCTTTTGGACCACACAGTTCGGTCATTCTGAGAGCATTTCCACACACAGACTTATTTACACACACACACATTCGCTTTTACACGCACACGCTTTTACACACACAGACACTTTTACACGCAGACGCTTGTACACGCAGACGCTTTTACACGCAGACGCTTTTACACGCAGACACTTTTACACACAAACGCTTTGACACACAGACACTTTTACACAACAGAAACTTTTACACACAGACGGCTTTACACACAGACGCTTTTACACACAGAGGCTTTTACACACAGACGATTTTACACACAGAAGTTTTTACACGGAGAGGCTTTTACACACAGAAGATTTTACACACAGAAGCTTTTACACAGACGCTTTTTACACAAACGCTTTTACACACAGAAGCTTTTACACACAAGACACTTGTACACACAGACACTTTTACACACAGACGCTTTTGCACACAGACACTTTTACACAGTGCGCACAGAAGCTTTTAAACAGACGCTTTTACACAGACGCTTTTACACAGATGCTTTTACACAAAGAAGCTTTGACACACAGCACGCAGAAGCTTTGTACACACAGGAAAAATCGCAATTTTACCACAGTTTTTGGCGATCGACCTTCATTTCGTGCGAAAGGGTTGCAACGGGAACCCGGAAATCGCAATTTTACCTCAGTTTTTGACGATCGAACCTCGTTTCCTGCGAAAAGGTTGCGCCGGACAAGTTGAACTCGCAATTTTCCCTCAGTTTTTGACGATCGAACCTCATTTCGTGCGAAAGGGTTGGGCGGGACGACTTGAACTCGCACTTTTACTTCAGTTTTTGACGATCGAACCTCAATTCGTGCGAAAGGGTTGCGCGGGGCACCTTGCAAATTTGCAAATCGCAATTTTACCTCTCAGTCATTTTCCTCGCATTCAGGTGTTGTCTCATTACATTCAGGTGCTCAGTTCGGTTTGAGTCAGCAGCAAAGCAACTGCATGCACTTTTTCCTTGAATTTTGCAACACAGTCGTGTTCTGGATTTTGCATTCTACTGTTTGAAAAGCTGAACTTTGTTGCACAATGTAAATGTAACTTTTAATAAAATTGATGTTTTTTTGAGGCTATATTGCATTAGTGCTGTGTGTTTGCGCTGCCATTCGAACACTTGGATGGTGTTGGCTTGTTTGCTATTGGTATTGCCAGCCTCAAACCACAACACTTGCGAACAATGACGCTTATCACACAACAAAAACTGATAGAAAGATCAACTGACATGGTTTTCATGACCAAAAATCTCAAATTCAAGCTTGGCTGAACGGTCTTTACACGGAAAACCCGTATGGGCAGCGCATGACTTCAAAGCATGTTCATGCACGGCGGCGTCCCGGCACCCGTGATGATAAAACGCAACCCAATCTTGCACCACCCTTGGCGCAGCGAACAACACGGCGCAGTCGTACTAGTAAATCAAAAGCAGACTTAGTAGCACATAATTCGGGCTCCTGGGGGTCTGTTTGCTTCATGATGTTCTTGCTGCTGTTTTTCAGGTGAAGATCAAAGACCTTTGGATTGGTGGTTCTTCTGCCA